CCAGAAAATGTGGTATATAGACTCAGTTTTATTTTTACATATAGGACACATTGGATCTATATTGATGCCTATCTTGGCAAGGTAGCTCCTAGTGGGTAATTTCATATGGAAGAGTTTCCAGATGAACATTATAATCTTGCTGGGACACTGTAACTCCCAAATCCAATTGGTAGAGTTTGAGTTTGGATTGTTACTATCTATTAGCTTATAGGTAGAGGAAGTTGTAAACGTGCCACTGGGATTAAGACTCCAATTCAGTAATGTTTGGTTAGCTATATGTGGGGTACAATTGATAGTATTTATGCAGTTTGTAATGGTGTTGGGTAGATTGAAGGATAATTTCCCTAAGTTCCACCCTTGTCTACCACATATATCTTTTATACGTAGTGTTTCCTCCCCTTTATTAAAAGGTCCCGAAATGCTACTTCGTAAGTAATTGAAATTAGGAATTCAGTTTGTATCCCATATGTTCATACGGGACTGATTATCTACTGCCATCTAATGCCTTTATTGCAAATACTCCATCAAATTATTAAACTTTTCCATGTAATCGATGAACCAGTGGTTCTTTTTCGTTTTCCATAGATACTAATTAACACCTTAGCCCATAGAGAGTTGGTATTAGTGAGAATTCTCCATGCCAAACCTATCAGTAGTGCCTGATTTTTAGAATTGGCCTTCTTAATACCTAGTCCACCATTTGATTTATTTTTGGTGACTGTTTCCCATCCAATTAAGTGAATTTTCTTTTTTTCCCTTGTAGTACCCCAAAGGAAGTCCCTCTGAATTTTGTCTATCTCTCGAAGAGTTTTGCTGGGAAGCAGACTTATTTGCATTAGGTGGTTAGGCAAAGTAGGGTAGATTTTATTAGTGTGCACCTCCCTGCCATACTTAGCCACTTGGCGTTCCAATTATTTAATCTAGCCCTCATCTTGTCTAGTTGAGGTTGGTAATCCTTATGCCTAGGGATGTTATTAAGTATTGGAAAATCCAAGTAGCTTCCAAATGTATTACTAACAATAATCCCAAGTGTGGTAGCAACCATTTTCTAGTTTGACTTGTACAATTTCTAGACATGACTATTTTGGACTTAGCTTATTAATTACTAGGCTAGATAATCTGCTAAAATCATCCATGCATTTTGTAATAGTCCTAAGAGTTTTTTAATTAGCCTCACCCATTAATGTCATGTCATCTGCAAAAAATAAGTGCGAGAGAGGTGGTGTCTTAGGATTTATTTTAATAGGCACCCAATTCCTAATATCTACTTCATGGTTGATGTTTTTTGAAAGCATATCCATGCATAGTATGAATAGATATGCGGACAAAAGGTCCCCTTGTCTAATCCCCCTAGTGGGTGTGAATTCATTGGTTTTGTTACCATTGACAAGGATTGAAATTGAGCTCGTGGTAACACAGTTGAGAATTAGATTACTAATGTTCCTGGGGAAATTAAAAATTTTTAGTGTTCGATAAATATATGACCATTCCAGTTTATCGAACGTTTTTTTCTAGATCAAGCTTCAGGATCATTTTTTCTTTGCCTTTGAAACGATTAAAGTTCCTAATGACTTCTTGTATTACGATAGCATTGTCACTTGCTCTCCTTCCTTTTATGAAGCTGGCTTGTTCTATATTGATTAATTGATTAAGAAAAGGCCTGACCCTGTTTGCAATTATTTTGATGATAATCTTGTAAATCATATTGCACAAACTTATAGGTCTAAAGTTCTTGAGTGTGTTAGCATTATTGATTTTTGGAATTAGGCAAATATACGTTTGGTTCACCTCCGGAGGTATTTTTGAGGTGTTAAAGACGGTATGGAATAGATTTATAACCTTGCTTCCTAAAATATGCCAGAATTTTTGGAAAAAAATGGATGAAGGCAATCAGGCCCCAGTGCCTTGTAGGGCTTAAAGGAAAACACTGATCTTCTGATTTCTTGATTGGTAAGGGGCCTATCCAGGATTGATAGGTCGCATTTTACAAGATTTGTGGCGTTATCATTAATAAGATTAGTCTTGTTATGAGAAGTTGTGAATAATTGCTTAAAATAATTTGTGACATGTTCCATTATGGAGGTCGGGTCTTCAATCCAATTTCCTGAGTCATCTTTGAAGAAAACAACATTATTCCTCCGTCTCCTATTAGTAGCTTTTATATGAAAAAACTTAGTATTGGCATCCCCTTCGTTCAACCAATTAACTCTAGACCTAATTTTCCAATAATCTTCTTCCAATTTTAGGATAGTGTTATGCTCATCAACAAGCTTATTTTCCAGGTCTTGGAGGAATTTACTAGTCTGATAGTTTATAGAATTTTGGATCCCATCTAACCTTTTTAACAACTTCCTTTTTCTAGAAAATATATTACCAAACGTTTGGTTTTTCCATTCTATCACTTTATCCTTGAAGCTTTCATTACCCCCTAGTAGATCTTTATTTTCCCAGTTATTTGAGACGAGCCGGTTAAAATCCGGATGCGTACACCAATAAGTTTCTAGACGGAATGGCCTATCCCTAACTGAATTTATTCTATTATTAAGGTTAACAAGAATAGGGTTGTGATCCGAGTGCACTTTTGGGAGGTGAATTATGGTAACATTTGTATAGGCTTGCAACCAACTATCATTAGAGTAAATCCTATCTAATCTTTCCATGATCAAGCCCTTTTTTTTTCTTACGATTGTTAGACCATATATACTTACATCCCTTAAATCCTAAGTCTACTAGATTACAATAATCTAGACAACTTATCAATGATTTAGCTCTCTTTTGGTTAATTTTTCTACCCCCGAACTTATCAGATGTGTTAATCAACTCGTTGAAATCCCCTCCTAACAACCAAGGTCCTTTATACTTGTCATAAATAGTTCTAAGGTTATCCCATAACATGTATCTATTATAAACATCATTGCTAGCATAAATTGCACTAAATAACCAAGTTAAGGCTTTTGGTTTTACCTCGATCATTGCATGAATAGCCTGCCCATTCCTAGTGAAGTTGTTGACAGTTACCACTTCGTTGTTCCACAGGATAACAAAGCCACCACTCTGCCCTACTGAAGGAACCTCGATCATTTCTGTAAAGCTAAAAGCCTCCAAGATTGAAATATAGCTTTCCATTTTAGTTTCTAGGAGTGCAACCAAACAAGGACTATGGGTATCCATTAGCTCTCTAAAGTTCCTAGTGAAGTTTGCATTATTAGCACCTCTCACATTCCAGACTACAATATTGTTTGGTTGATACATGGGGTTATTGTTGGGGGGGTTGTTATTCTGCATCACCCTTAGAGAGGGGACCATGATCACCACATTCTTCCCCACAGTTGGGTCCTGTGGTGGTCGAATGTCCAGCGAGCATTTGAACAGTGTCGCTGGGCAACTGAAGATAGATTTCCTGTCTAGCATCTCCCTGAATATTAGTATTTTTACTTCGTTTAGGCTTGAAAAGGTTACTGCCGGCTCCCCTAAGTGTGGTAGGTTTTCCAGCTCCTCTCCTTCCTCTTGAATTCCTTGTTGGTTTGGCATGTTCAGTGGTGGTGCTTGCTCGTCCATTGGATCTGGTTGTGGGTCTTGTTGGTTGGGTACTGCCTGGGCATTCCATTGTGTGAATACTGGGTTTAGTATCATGAGGTCCTCCGGAGCAAAAAAAAGGTAGGTTTAGTAGTGGATTTTGGAGAATCTGTTGGTTTGGGTGGTGAGGGATATTCCACATTTGTTGCATGTTGTTCACAAGGTTTGGATTCATTGATGGAGCTAAAGGTTGTAGGATATTGTTCATCCACATTTGATTGACATAATTGTTCATGGCTAGATTCATCCCTTCTGAGATCAGTTGGGCTAAGAAGTGGGTATTTTGGATTATCAATATTGATTCCTGCCCATTGATCTCCATATTGAAGGTCACTGCATGACCCCGTAGCCCTAGTTCTATCCATGATTGTGGAATGTGATTTGATGGACTTGGTGGTTGTGCATAGATCACTGGATTTGGTTGGAGTTGGGGTGGTAGATTTGGTAGATTGTTCATATTGGAGTTGCGAGACATGTGTATAAGTTGTAGTAAACGGTATCTCCTTCTTAGAGTGAGTGGAGTTCTGGCCATCTTTTGGAGTTATGGTGTTTATAGGAAGGGTGGTATTAAGGGGATTGGGGGGATCCCTAATGATTGACTCTATTTGCATATTGTTGGCAGAGTTATGCGTGTAGTTTATATCCATATCTTGCATAGATATGTCCCTAGCCACTTGTCCACACTTGTCCTCCAAGTGTTTCTCGTTTGATTGGTCGTGGGGGTTGGGGCATGCATGCATGCAATTAGTATTATCATGGTTATTAATTAGGTTAGTAGGTTTTATAGGTTTGTTGATTGCTTCTTTTGCTTTCTGATTGGTTGCATTAGTACTTATATCCATTTCCATTTCATTAAGCAAGTTATTGTTAGCACTAATTGTGACTGGAAATTGTGCCACGTTTGTGACATTTGTCACTTGGCCAGCAGCTTGCTTCTCATGCAAAATAATAGATTTTATATTTTTTTTTCTGAATTTTCCAAAACCATGTGCTGTTTTCCTGGTTTTGTTAGACTACTTGCACCTTCATCATTTTGTTCTAGCATTTGGTCATTAGGGAAGTGATTTTTTTCGTTGTTAACGCCAGATTTTATCTCATTAGGTTGAGTGTTAGAAGGCTTGATTAAAAGCTGTTTATTGACATAACTTAAGTGTTGAGTATTGAGATACTTACCTGACGTTGCATCAAACAAACAGAAATTAATACCTGGTGAGAGATTTGCACCAGGTTTGTGGGCACGTTCATTGGCTATCTTTACCTTACCTCTCCTAGGGAAAGAAACTGTCATCCATTCCCCTTCCTTCTCCTTGCTTTGGATTGGTGAATCCATGACTTTATTGTCTCCCATGGTTGTGATTGGTGGACTGTTATTTTGGCAGCGCAGGCTTGTGTGTCCTAGCTTGCCACATAATTTGCATAGAATGTCATTTCCCTCGTATACAATCCCCTATTAGGATAAAATTTTGCACTGGTTGGTCTAGGGGTAGCTCTACACATAATCTAGCATATCGTCCCCTCAATGTAGCTGAGGTGCATGCGTCAACTTTGAGTAATTTTCCAATGGAGTTTCCAATTCTTGATAGGATGATTCCATCGTAGAACTCCGTGGGTAATTGGGGCAGACGAACCCATATAGCTGTAAAGCTTTGGCAAGCTTTTTTTGCTACAAAATTAGGTACCCATTTTTGAGTAGAGAGAAAAAAACCATTAACAAACCAAGGCCCGTTATGTAGAATTTTGATCATGTTTTCTTCCTTGGCTAGCTTAACTGTATAGTAGTCCTCTCCAAGATCAATGAGAGGGAGATTCTCATTGATTTTCCATAGGTCTTGTAGTTTTTTTTTGAGGTAGTGATGCACCAGTCTTTTGCTTATGAGCTTAATGATAATTGAGAACTTCCAAGGGCTGTACATACGGTTAATGTCCTCAGCTGTTAGATTTATTTGCTTCAAGGTAGTAGCTTTCTTCATTGGTTCTGTGACGTCCATTTCTGTTTGTGGTATCTCCATAGCCTGGGAAGTCGATTTATCAGTTATTAGGTTGTCATTATTGTTGATGATGAACTCCTCCTTTAGGAGAGTTTCCTTGTATGATGGGGCGTTTATTGGTGTTGAGTTGAATTTGTCAGGTGGTTTTGGAGGAATATGGTTGTGGGGAATGGGTTGTTGTTGTAGTGAGAGGTCACTCATTCTCTCTCTATCACTTTTTTATCGAGTGACACCTGGTAAAATAGTTAAGGAGGGTCACAAATTAACTCGGCACGACCATCATTTATAAAAAAAACCCAGATAAATAGAATTTTTAACAGTATGATCGAAAAAGGAAATGAATGACATCTTTTAAGAAATATGAAAAATGAAGGAACATAATATGGCTCTAAAGAAGAAAATGGAATTTATTCAAAAATAAAATAACATTACTGTTGATACCCAATTTTTTCATAATATTTTCAAAAACTATGCATTGGCATCAATTAGTATTTTTTATACAATTTATGCATTTTAAAATATTTTAATTAATTTCTCCCAGTATTTTATTTATAAAAACATCGCTGATTGCATCACCAGTAGTTTTATAATAATTTTTGTAGCTTAATTTTATCATTTGCATTTGTACTAAGTTTCAATTATTGCACAAATAGCCACATTTGTGTTTTTAGGATGCAATTGCAATTACTTTGCAATTATAGCCTATGCATGCATTATTATATTATTTTACCAGAAAATATCCTCTTATATTTTGAAAATATTAAGTAATTAATTTAAAATATTTCCAGGCATGAAAATCATTTTTTACAACCTATTAGTTATTTTTAAAAATTATTTTATCAATTAAATGGGCATTTAATAAATGGCCCTCTTATTTTCAAATTTTTAGCCTAAATTAAACACCCCCCCAAATCCCGATTAAATAAAAAACCTGCCCAAATCTACCCAGCCCAAACCCATAACATCCAACCCGACCCCCAAACCCTTTTAGTCCTGGCCGTTGATCACAGAGATCAACGGCCACCATCACCCCTTTCTTTTTTTAGTCTCAACGACCCCCAAACCCTAGCCATTTGCTTACACCCGTCGCCTTTGAAACCCTTTCCTCTCCAACTCTCTTTGAAACCAAACAACCCTATCCGCCACCACCCAGAACCAGCCCTAATCCCCTTGATTCCTACCCGATCTATGGCTTTCCATGGCTGTACGAGGCCTCTACTTGTCTCATATCTCCCCTGGTTGCTCGATTGTGTGGTTTCGTGGAAGGACCTCAAAGAGATCTGGTCTAAATCTCATTCAAAACTCTTCAAAGAGTCTGTCTATAGTCTGTGAGTGCTTTCTATCAAAGTTTCACGACTCAAATCTTTGATTCAAGGGCCAGTTTCTCTTTACCCTCTCTCTTTTCTTCAAAACCTAGCATTTGGACCTGAATTTGTCCAGATCCTTGCAGATCTAGAATGATTTGAGTTCATCATTGCTCTTTCCTTAAGGCTCCTTTATTTCTTTACAGGCTCCTTTATTTCTTTACTGATTAATCGATTTTTGAACATTTTTTGTTATATTAGGTTTTTTTTTGTTTGTTGGTCGAACCTCTGGGTATCTGAAGTATTTTCAAACTTCCATGGCTATTCTATTAGGTTATTTTACTTCTCTACTACTAACCGATTTCTAAACACTACACTATTTCAGGTTTTGATTTCTATGATTTCTGTTTGTTCAAACCTCTGTGTGTTGACATGCTTTCAAGTTTTCCATGGCTGTTTTCCTTCTGTAAGCATTTTCAAATTAGGGTTTTGAATTATTTTCCGTCTAAATTCTCCGTGTTCCTAAAAGTTTTACTCAACCTATTTTGTTTATGAGAATTGATACGTTCTCTCCAGAATTGTTGAGTGATTTGCTCTGTCAGAAATTCATGTGCATGATTCTTGATTATTTCCATGTTTATGACCTTAATTGGTCATTCTTGTCTTATTTGACTGCTGTATATTTACTGATTCTTTACATGATTCTTTCTTTAATTAAACCCTTGATTATTTTATTCTGAAGTTCTTTATTTGGTTTGATTTGAACTCCTTTCCTTAATAAGGCCTCTGATTCTTTACTTCTTTACTCAGTCTGATTGAACCTCTTGCCTTAACTAGTTCCTATCATTACCGTTGGCTAATTTTCCTCAATTAAAGGACAATACTATGCTGAACCTCTTTGTGTGATTGATTCTGAATCCCTTAATTGCTGATTGTTGATTACTTTACCTTATTTGCTCTACTCTTGGACTACTATATAAATTCTTTTATCTAACTTCTTAGACACGAACATTAGTTTATCAACTACTGTTACACTCTAAAAAAGTTCGCTGTTCTTCCTTCTACTTGTGATCTTCATTAATCTAGCCGTCTGTAAGCCAAGGCTAGAAATAGCACAACACCCATCTTACATCTTGTGTTCTCTTTCCCTAACTGGTATGCCTATGATTAAATTTTAGAATCTAAACCTATGTGTTTATTTACTGCCTTAGTTCATTTTTGCTTCTATTTACTGCTTATCTAGCATACCTAATACACCTTGTTCAATATGTGTTTATCATGTCTCTATTTTACTTGCCTGTTTACTATCTTGTTTAACATATCTAACACTGTCTTGTTCCATATGTGATTAGCCTGTTTGCCTGACTACTGTTTATCTAGCATGCCTAAACTTTATTTTGTTAAGTGTGTGATTAGCATGTCTACACTTGTTGATACTTTCCTAGTCTGTCCATTTAAGTTCTTGCCTGTTCTGCCTTACTCCTACTAAGTTATCTAGTCTCTCCAGGGTAACTCTAGTTGTGTTGTTTATGTGTCCTCAACATGTTTCTGCTGTGATCTTTGCTTCATGTTTCAATGACTTACATTATATCTAACCTATTAGTTCTGCAGAACCCCTTGAGAGTTCTATGCACCCTGTTGTTTATGTGGTCCACTATACACTAAGGTGTATTCTATGTGTCCCCAACCCCTCTTTCCTTGTGTGGAACCTGCTTGCCAAGTGTTTCTGAATAATGGTTGTTCTGTAATTTGTGTTTGACTTAAAAGTGTTTCTCATACTTTTTCTCAAGCCGTTTTTACCTCCAAATCAGTACTGGTTTTTCAGAAAACCTATTTACTTCTAAGAATCCTCTCCATACTGTTTACCAAAACTCTTTCAAATCATGTCAAAACACTCTCACTTATTCTTCGGTTATTAAGTCCTGCCCCTCTGGTATGTATACTGCTTAGAGGTCCCTGAGATCTCTCTGAACTCTGGCATATCAGGGCTGGCTCTTCCACACTGCACATAATCAATCTTTATTTGAGAAAGTCTGGGTGTGAGTCCTGCCCAGGATCCTTGAGGTCCTTAGGGAACTCTGACACACCCGGACACAAATGTGGCAAAGAATCTTGGGCATTTGAGACTAGTGAAGTCCTGGTACACCAGGATTTGCTTTGGGCCTACTTCAGGCTCCCTATAGCTTATTTTATATTCTATTTATTTAATTTTTATTCAATCATTGGTCTGTAATAATTAAGTGTAAACAAATATTGGGGTGACTAGTGAAAAGGGAGAGTAGTTGTATACTGTGGGTAAAGTTGGGTAGATAACATGCCTATAGGTTTTACTTTGGTTCAAATATGTTTTGTTAGATAACATGCCTATAGGGTTCATTTTGGTTCAAATGTGTTTACTTAGATAATATGCCTATAGGGTTTTGCTTTGGTTCAAATAAGTTCTGCCTGCTTTATTTTACATGATTAGACATCATGCCCATAGGATCTAAAATCAATTTTAATTATAACTCATGCCTATAGGATCTAAAGTCAGTTTTAATTAGAACTCATGCCCATAGGATCTAAAATCAGTTTTAATTAGAACTCATGCCTATAGGTTCTGAATCAGTTTAATTAATTATCCTACTCGTTTCTTTAATGGTCTTCAACGCTGTGTTAATTAATTTTACTAGAAAGCATGCCTATAGGATAAAGGACTTTAAAATGTTTTCCAGAATTGTGACTGCATATACACACTTAGGCAAACCTTAGGGCGTTAAAATTGAAAGCAGTTCTGTTTATGTGTGAAATTATCCAGGCTTAACATGTTATAAAACCAGTAGGCAAATTGGTTAGGATTCTGCCACTTTCCTTATGCATATCCTGAATATGTAACATTCATCTAGATACCATGTTCTTAGGATTTCTGAACTTTCTTCAAAACCTGTGTTTTAGACGTTCTGTTTGTTTCCCTATATATATGTGGAGGTAAATGTGAGCCTTCTAACTTCTTGTCTTTATTTGCTTGTCCTATATGTTATTTGCCTGTCGCCTAGATTTTTACCTTTTATAAACCTTAGGCTGTCTAGAACTGTCCAGATTTAGAGGTCCCAAATTCCTCCAGGACCACAAGGAAGGGACGGGTAGCAGCACACTTAGAGGTCGTTAAATTAAACTTGCTTATAACCACTAAGGGGAGGGTAATGGGTAGTAAAAGGATATGATGACCTGTGCACTAATGTCACGTGTAGCCCCTTTCATTGAGGAGTCATTACCGGGCATTGCATGGGTATGATCCTGTAGGCTAATCAACTTAGACTTCCCTTTCCCAATTCCCGTATGAGTTTAAATTCTCTAAATATCCTTTTTCTTTACTTATACATGTAAGCTGCCCAAACCTCTTTTATCTTCACTATTTGAACTTCCTTGACCATATATGCATTTAGACGGGGGAAAGCTACTTTATTTGCAAGTACTTGCTTGCTTGTTAATTGACTAATTCATATAGTTTAAGTTCGGCCGGGACCCACCGTTATGGACCGCGAGGGGTGCCTAACACCTTCCCCTCAAGGTTATTTCGAGCCCTTACCCAAACCTCTGGTAATGCAAACTAGTTACACGAGTTAACTACTCTAGGTGCCCTAACGCACCATAATCCGTTAGGTGGCGACTCTTTAAATACCCAATTCCCAAAAGGAAAAGAGTTGTTCCCCCATGAACGTCGAAACCCGAACTTCCCCGTAAAAAGGGGATAAAGGGGGCGCGACAGCATGGCGACTCTGCTGGAGTTATTATAGGCTCTTACCATAACGAACTTATTTTTTGTGAATTAGTCCAAGCATGCTCTATCCCACGTACCCTTNCATACTTAATTTAATTTATTAGTTAATTAAAAATCTAAAAATGTTGAAATTGAGA